ATTAGTAACAGGCAAATAAGAGAGATATATAGGGGGATGATGGGGAGAGTGAAGCCAGGCGCAGGGGTGCATTGCCTCTAATCCCAGCGGCTCAGGAGGCTGAGGCAGGAAGATTGAGAGTTCAAAGCCTGCTTCAGCAACGACGGAGAGGCACTAAGCAACTCAGTGAGACCCTGTCTCTAAATAAAATACAAAATAGGGCTGGGGATGTGGTTCAGTAGTTGAGTGCCCCCGAGTTCAATCCCTGGTATCCAAAAAACCCCCCAAAAGTGAAACAATCTGTGAAAGATGCTGCTGAGATGAACCAGAAAGACATCTCCAGGATTCTGGCCAAGGAAATGATCCTGTCAAGGCTGTGAGCAAGCTCTATGAATGCAAAGTGCATTCAGACTCAGTATTCATAGGGATGAAGAACCAGCTGATGGTTCTGTAAGTGCCAGTCCCCCTCAGAAGAGCAGAGAAGTGATGAAAGTCATGCAAAGTCTCATGAAGATTCCAGAAATCCAAGCCACCGTGTGGCACTATCCAAAAAGACAATGAAGGCTAGGTTCATAGGAGAGATATCAGAGAACACTTTTGAAAGCACTGATGAGCCAGGCACAGTGGTGAATGCTTGTATCCCAGCAACCTGGGAGGCTGAGACAGGAGGATGACAAGTTAAAGACCAGCCTCAGCATTTTATTTTTATTGTTTTGGTACCAGGGATTGAACTCAGGGTCACTCAAATCACTGAGCCACATCCCCAGCCCTATTTTGTATTTTATTTTGAGATAGGGTCTCACTGAGTTGCTTAGTAGCTTGCTGTTGCCAACCTCAGCAACTTAGCGAAGCCCTGAGTAACTTAGCGAGATCCTGTCTCAAAAAATAAAAACGGATGTGGCTCAAGCGGTAGTGGGCTCGACTGGCATGTGTGCGGCCCGGGTTCGATCCTCAGCACCACATACAAACAAAGATGTTGTGTCTGCCGAAAACTGAAAAATAAATATTTAAAAAATTCTCTCTCTCTCTCGAAAAATAAAATACATTAATAAGTATTAATGTTGTTTAAAAAATAAAAATAAAAACGGCTGGGAATGTGGCTAAATGGTAAAGCTCCTCTGGGTTCAATCCCTGGTATCAAAAGGGGGAAAAAAAGAAAATAAAGCAAGCACAGATGATCAGGAAAAAAATGAAAGAAGCTAAAATGAAAACTGCAAAAAATCTGTTTGAAATTACAGTAAGGGCCTTCAAACCTATATTGAGTATTCTTAGGTCAACCTCTGAATCATATATCTATTATTGAAATTGGGACTATCACTATCTCCCATGCACTTTGACTTGCAAGTGGATAGAAATTAAAAAATAATTTCCACAAAGCACTTTGCATTCCTTGGAGAATGAATATTATCATCATATATTAAGTGATTACCTTGTAGAATATGCATGACTTCCAGTATCACATAAAGTATATGTAGACATACTTTCCCATCTCATTCCATAATTTGGAGTTGAGTGAAATCTAGGCTATTATATCAAGGGTCAAATACTTAAGAGGTGAAATATAAGCTCCGAAATAATATATAATGCTTTTAAAATAATAAATCATTGATGTCCTTACTGGAACTTCAACATTCTCACTTGTTCTGTGAACTAAATTCAGTTAATAATTTTTCAATAATAAATAATACTAGTTATAAATTCAAAGATAAATTTATGAATTTTAAAATGTTAGTTCTTTTTAATAAATCAATGACAATATCTATATTCAGTTGTACAACAGTTTAAATATGTATCTCCAAAAAGAAAAGGTAAATTTTGACATATGGACTGTAGAAAAATAATTACTTTAACTTAAATTTTATATTACCTACATGTAATCATAACTAACTTTATATTCAGTGATAACTATCATATTTTAAAATAACAGATAATATTAAAATGAAAGATGAAGTAGCATTGTTTTAACTATAAAACTAATAGTAGCAGGGATTCAATGGTTCTCAAGTGTTCCTATCCATTGAGGAACTCCAAATTTTTATACTCATGTTACCAACCCTTAAATAGGCCAGCTCTAAACTAAAAACTTAATTAAGGTACCCCTGTCCTAGAAGATCAGGCAGAAAGAAAGAGAGAAAAAAAGGAAGAAAAAAGGAAAAGAAATACAGGGAAATTTTAAGTAAAGAAATCTGGGTAAAATGCAGTCAGACTTCATGTGCTGATAAAAGAGAAGGTGTTACAAGAGAAATATTTCAGTTGACAAGTAGGTAATTTTGTGAAAACTCTGTTCAGATTGAAGACACAGTGCATACAATTTATATAAAACTTCAAGAATATGATTAAAGCATATTATAATAAGAGATGATAATGTATTAATATTATTAAATAATGATAGTAACATAAAAAGTAAGAATTCAAGAGTCCCTATTGATATAATACTTAAGAAATGAATATTGAAATATTTAGGAATAAAGAGGCATCATGCCTGCAACTTAGAAAATAAACTGTAAAAGAGAATTTGGGAAAATGTTAATGTCTGGGGAATGTTGGTAAATGGTATATGAAATCTGCTGTATTCTGGAACTTTCCTGAAATTTGAAATGATATCAAAATAATAGGTAAAAAAAAGATTAGTATTTAACACAGGTACCACTTGTAGATTACCTACAGCCAGGCACAGTACAAGGCATTTTTCTCATATTATTAATCTTTATACCAATCTCTCAGGGCAGGTATTATATCAATCTTTGATTTTAAACAGATAACAAAATAAATGGAAATAAAAATTAAAATGGCCAGTTTGGTCAAGAGAGTAAAACTTCTCTGGCCTCTTGTCAGGCTGTAATTTGTGTCAGAAACAAGAAGTTATTCTTTCTTTAACTTCCAGATACAGAATGCTATTTGGAAAGAATAGTTTCCAATCCTGGGACTTCTGCTGACTTGCCAGCTAACCCCTTTATAACAGGCCCCAACAGCTAACTAATACTTCAGTGTATGAACAAACCCTCAGCACCAAACAATTCATTCAAAACAATTATGTGTGCTGGGGTTGTAGCTCAGTGGTAGAGTGCTTGCCTAGCACATGTGAGGCACTAGGTTCAATCCTCAGCATCACATAAAAATAAATAAATAAAATAAAGGTATTGTGTTCATCTACAACTAAAAATAAATAAATAATAAAAACAATTTATGTAATTAATAGGGTTGATGAAAAAATTGTTCAGGGGCTAGAGTGTAGCTAAAAACTTATTTAAGGTACCCCTGTCCTAGAAGATCAGGCAGAAAGAGAAATAAAAGGAAGAAAAAAAGGAAAATAAATACAGGGAAACTTTAAGTACAGAAATCTGGGCAAAATGTGGTCAGACAAAGGTGAATGAAGGGGGCTGGGGATGTGGCTCAAGCGGTAGCGCGCTCGCCTGGCATGCGTGCGGCCCGGGTTCAATCCTCAGCACCACATACAAACAAAGATGACATGTCCACCGAAAACTAAAAAATAAATATTGAAATTCTCTCTCTCTCTCTCTCTTAAAAAAAAAAAAAAGGTGAATGAAGGGAAGAGAGGGGGAATGGAAATAGGAAAGACAGTAGAATGGATCTGACATATCTTTCCTTTGTGCATCTATTAATACATGCACATCATGTGCTGAGAAAGGGAAGGAGTTATAAAGAAAATATTTCAGTTGACAAGTAGATAATTTCATGAAAACCCTGTTCAGATTAGGTAGTAGAGTACTTGCTTAGCATGTGCAAGGTCCTAGGTTCCATATGTAGAACCGTATAAAAAACAACAAAAGTTCAAAACAAGTTAAACTTGAACATTATTTCTTTGTTTTTCCTTTAAAAATCCAGTCCTCTTTTCCTTTGATGGAACACTTGTTTGGTTTCTAATTGAACCGGTGTTACCAATTTGCAAATCTACCCTGTGCCCAAATAAAAGCTGCTTTTGCTTTTATTTTAACCTCATTTATGATTTCTTGGTTTACAAAAGTTCCAAGAAGTTAAAGCAACTTATCTAAGAACAGAAATCAATTAGCATGGCTAGGTTTCAAACCAAATCATACTCCAAAGTTTAAATTCTTTCTACAAGGTGGAAAGTATAACAATGGTTTATATACAGCATTTGCTCTACATTTGTATCCTCAACATTATCTATTAGTTATATGATGATGGGCAAACTACTTAGTTTCTTGTTTGTTCTGGATACAGTGTCTGTATCATGGGCTATTTGAGAGGATTAAATAAAACGTGCATGCAAAGCACTTTAGAGCAGGATCAGAGCCCATAAAAAGAATACAAATGTTTATGGTTGGGGCTGGGTTGTGGCTCAGTGGTAGACTGCTTGCCTAGTACATGTGAGGCATTGGGTTCGATCCTCAGCACCACATAAAAAATAAGTAAAATAAAGGCACTGTGTCCAACTACAGCTAAAAAATAATTTAGAAAAATGTTTATAGTTGTCATGTACTTTATTCTACCTTTTCCTGAAAAGCAGTGCTTCACACACTGCTTAATTCTAAAGCATAGAAACCATATCTAGTCATTACTTTTTTACTATCATAAAATATATAAAAATTTCAAACTTAAGACAATCAATTCAAACTAACAAATGTTTCTTAATTTAAGCAAGAAACTAGTTCAATGGTATTATAGATAATATTAAATATTACTGCAGTAGATTTTCTATACCTGCTGTAACAGAAACCATGGTTATTTAAGTGGTAAAAAAGATTATGTTCAAGATTGTTTTCTATTAAAAATGAAAATAAAAATATTAAGTATGAATTAACTGGAAAAATAACCTATGTTAAATAGCCTAATTCCAATAATTATGGAAATAAATGTTTTGGGCTTCAAATGTCTCTTTAAGGGAAGGTCACAGTATACACATTACTATCTAGTAAAATTCTCATCTTTAAGGAGGATGACTTGACTTTCACTTTAGTTAGTAGAGTTAACTTCATCTGTTCATTAAATGTTATGTGCAAACAAACACCAACAAAGTAAAACAAAAAAATTATTCCTACCTTATTGTTTCTTCTATCAGACGATCTGAGCTAAAAAAAAAAAAAGAAAGAAAGAAATTCAAATCCTGGAATTATTAAATAAATACATATTTAAAACTTGTACTTAATTTTTCTACATTTGTAGATCAACTTTTCAGCCGTATGTAAAAATACCTAGATTTTTTTAAAAGTATCTGAAGAAAATTCTAGACTCTGAAATTAACTTACCCACGTGGATATAATGTATATTTTACTTTTATTAGCTTAAATATTTTTCCACAGTAGATACCTGTTTGTTAAAGTCAGAACAATTTTTGTGTGTGGGGATTGAACCCAGGGGTGCTCTAGTACCGAGCTATATCCTCAGTCCTTTTAAATTTATTTTTTATGTTTTTATTTTGAGACAGTGTCTTGCTAAGTTACTGAGGTTGGTCTAGATCCCCTACCTCAGTCTCCTGAGTCACTGGGATTACAAGCATGCATGTCCAAGCCTGGCTAAATCAGAACAATTTTAATGACAGCATAAAGAAATAGAAGTTCTTTAGTCTAGATAACTCCAAATCGTCACCACCATCTATCCAAAACTTAACAATTACAACCAACTGTTCAGACAGGATAAACAAATACAGTTCTGATGCCTGTAAGAGCAACAGGGGCTTAAAAAGGCTGCCTCTGCTAAAAGCAGTGCCCTTTACTTAGACCTGCTGATGCCTATTGGGTAACTAAAAACAGGACAGAACTTGGCATCTGTGCCTTCATTTTATATTTGTTTTCAGGTTCCTGGTCAGCTCTGCATGTAGGAATGTGAAACATTTAAGAAGCATTCATCCAAATAAGACTTATTAGTCCTAAAATTAATTAACCTATCATATCCCCCTTGATGACTAAGATGAGATTTTCAGGGACTACCAGCTTTTATGGCATCAGACCCTTAGACAGGTACCTAGAAGTTTCTTGTCCCCTTCCTGGATGGACCACGGGTCTGATAAACATCCCCAGCAACAAAGTGGAACTAACACCCTTCAGGCAATAAAGAACTCCAGAGTCACTTCACAGAACCAGAACTGAGAGAATGATCATCTAGACCATAGTCTGATCAAGATTGCTTAATTAGGTTGTGGGTCAGTAGTGGAGTACCTGCCTAGCATGTGTGAGACACTGAGTTCAATTCTCAGTACCACAACAACTAAAAATTATATATATGCTGTTTAATTATGCACACCTCTTGCTTCCTACCCCAATTCTTCCTCTATTTAAACTCAGGGCTGAGATGCTGGACCTCACTTTGTCTTCCAATGTAGTGACTAAAGTTCTTTTCTTGCTTTTCACCATTATCTTTTCTGTTTTTGTTTTTTTTTGGAGGGGGGGGCAAGTGGTTGGACATGGTTTGTTGGGACCCCAGAGTCAGGCCTCTGGCCTAGGACTCCAGTAACATATATAGTAATTATTTACATCTTAAAGTTCCTTCCATTTTTGGGAAAGAGTTGTTTTGGAAACTGAACCAAGCCTCAGCTTACTAAACTTCAGAATGTAAGAATGTGACTAAAGCAAATATATATCTGTAATCTGTATGCTTTTATGCATCACACACTGAAAAGAAAGAAAAACAAAAAAAAGTAATATTAGGGAGGAATTTATAGGTAGCTTAGTTTGGTAGAGGTGCAACTTTATAGTGGAAAGTAGGAAAACAAACTTTCAAATGAGGTCTATATTCATTTGGCACAGTGCAAGATACACAATGGGCATGCAAATACTGCATGTTTTTTCCCCAGCTACTCTTTCCTAAAGAATTTTTAAGTATATTCTCTAAAATAATAAGTTAAAGCTTAATTATAAAATGGAATAGGAAACTCAAGTTACTGCATGAATAAAGGAACCAAGATGGGCTTTAAAATGTCATAAATAGCCAGGCGTGGTACTGGTTTGGGAGGCTGCTGAGGCAGGAAGATTGCAAGTTCAACGCCAGCCCCAGCAACCTAGCAAGGCCCTAAGCAACTAAGTGAGACCCTGTCTCAAAAAACATTAAAAGAGCTGGGTGGGAATGTGGCTCAGTGGTTAAATGCTCCTGGGTTCAACATCTGGTACCAGCAAAAAAAAAAAAAAAAAAAAAAAAACCCTAAATACCTTGTAAAACTCCTGTGATTAAAAATTTTAAAAATTACAAAGGGTGGTTAAAAGCCAGACTGTGTGCTGTATGGCAGTTTAAATGCTGGTTCTCCCACTTATTAGTTGATATTAGGCAGGTTTCTCTGTGCCTCAATTTGCTTATCTGTAAAGTGGCAATATTAATAAACCCTATTTATTCAGAGAATTAAAAGAGTTCATATATGTAATGATTATATCAGTATGTGGCATGTAGTAAGCACTGAGTGTTTTTTGGCTCATTATGGTAATTTCTCAATAACTACAGATTAATTCTAAATCCAAGCATAAAGTCGATACAAATTTCCATATAATTTCCTATTCTGATGAAATCTATGCATTTATTCTTTTACAAATCTGTACAAAACTTCCCCTGAAGGGTACTGGGTCACACAGTGGCTACAAAAATAAGGCCACCACTATAGACCTTAAATGGAGACAGGCAACACACAGACCAAGAGTTGTCCTGGCAGAATGGCGAAAATAGAGTGATTAACTTAGGTTAATAACTCCTTGTTCAACACAAAGGTTTGACTGAATGTCCTCATCAGGGCCTCTTAGTATATTAAAAGGCATAAAAAATAAGATATTTCAAAATACAGACAGTATAATACAAAAATAAGAATTCTATTGCCAAGCTCAACAAGCTAGTTTTGTGCTAATAGCCTCAATGAAGATAAAAATCAATGAAATAGACTTTTAAATTAAGTGTGTGAGAGCAATCTATTAATTTGCTAATTTTGTTAAGAATAATAACAGTTAATTCTTATAACTGCTTATAAGGAGCCATGTCCTCTCCTAAATGACTGTTTTAACTTAATCCTCATAACAGCCCTAGGAGACTGATTCTACCATTCTCTTCATTTACAAATAAGGAAATTGAGGCCTAGAGACAGGAAATCACAGTTATGGGGCGCAGCCAGGATTCAAACTGAAGCAGATTGACTTCTGAGCTTTGGCTTTTGCTGTTTCAGTAAAAGACACTTCTCTCTCCCTCTCTCCTTCTCCACAATCAGTCCCAGTTTTTCCCTACTTCTAAAGTATCTCTCATTTCTACTCTAGCAAGAATCACACAAAGACCTTGCTAAGAGGATGAAAAGAAACTTAGAGAAAATATTTGCAAACCACAGGTGACCAAAGATTAGTAACTTAGAATATTATGGTTAAAATAAAAACAATTCACGTAGAAAATGGGTAAAAGACATGAAGACATTTCACTGAATGGGACATGCAAACAGCAAGCACACAGAAAGCTGTTCTATAACATTAGCCATTAGGGCGATGCAAACTACAATGAGGTATCACTACACACTTGTCACAATAGCTAAAATAAAAAAATAGGTGAGATCACCAAATGTTGATGGGGATGTGTAAAACTGGATCATTCATATATTACTAATGGAACTGTAAAATGTATGCAGTCACTCTGAAAAACAGTTTTATAGTTTAGAAACTAGCTTAAAAAACTAAACATGCAACAAACATTGTGACCCAAAAAAACAAACTCCTGGGTATTAATCTGAGAAATGAAAACTTACGTTTACACAAAAACTGACACGGATATTTATAGCAACTTTATTCATAAGAGTCAAAAGCAAGAAACAACCTAGATGTCCTTCAATGGATGAATAGATACTCAAACCATAGTACATCCATACCATGAAATACTACCCAGTAATAAAAAAGGGGATGGGAGGGGATGGGGTAGAGGGTAGAGGGTAGAGGGCTTGCCTAGTACAAGTGAGATTCGATCCTCAGCTTTACATAAAAATAAATAAAATAAAGGTATTGTGTCCATCTACAACTAAAAAAAATATTTTTAAAAAGGTGGAGGGGAGGCCATTAATACAAGTGACAACCTGGATCAATACCTAGAAAATTATGCTGAATGAAAAGTCAATCTTAGGGCTGGGGATGTGGCTCAAGCGGTAGCGCGCTCGCTTGGCATGCGTGCGGCCCGGGTTTGATCCTCAGCACCACATACAAAAAAAGATGTTGTGTCCGCCGATAACTAAAAAATAAATATTAAAAATTCTAAAAAAAAAGAAAAAAGAAAAGTCAATCTTATTACTCCAGAGGCTGAGGCATAAGGATCACTTGAGACCAGCCTGGACAACATAGCAAGACTCCAATAAAACAAAAACAAAAACAAAAAAAAGCAATCTTGAAAGGTTACGAACTGTATGATTCCACACATATATAACATTCTTGAAATGACAAAATTATAGTAATGAAGAATAATGCTTGTCAAAGCCTAATGAGGATGGTAGAAGGAGGAAGGGAAATAAGTACTTATGTTTATAAAGGGCAAATAAGGGATCCTTGTAATAAAAGAAGTGCTTCATATTTTGATTATATCAATGTCAATATCTGGGTTGTAATACTGTATTATAATTTTACAAGATGCTACCACTGGAGGAAACTGTTAAAGAATATATGGGATTTCCCTGTATTATTTCTTACAATTGCATGCAAATCCATAGTCAAAATAAGAAATTAAAAATTCAAAAGCAAAAGTACTGAACAAAGTATCAAACAACAACCATAAAAACTCAATGCCAATTAGATAAAATACAAAGCTACATACCTTAAGTAGCATACAATGTGAAGCAGCATTTAGAAAAACTTAAAAACTATTCTGTGGAAATACATTTCTACCTAACTCAGTGAATGCCTGGAAAGAAATGTAAAAATACAAAGCCAAGTATTTAGCACCAATCACCAGAAAGCCAGCAAGATACACTTCATTATCTGCTTTCTACAGATTTGAAGGTTTAATAATATTTCTCTTGAACCTGTTCTCAACCATAAAGTCAGAGCTAAAGTTTGGTAACTAATAAACTAGCCTAACTACTGTAGTTAGAAAATAAACAAATTAATTTTGCATTCAAAGAATGTTCCTGAAAAAA